AAATGCATCTGGTCTGCAGACAAGGAACCTTCTAGCTTTGGCTGTGTGATTTTCATCTCCCTTTCTGTTGTATTTGAGCTGTTGTAGTCATCTCTGTCACGGGGGCTGTGTTCTGAAGTTGGCACCCAAGGCAGGGACTATATATCATCAAAAGTCTCTCCCGTTGCTCACGAAATACAGTATATGGATACAATCCCAATGTCTGACCCAGGCAGCTTTCCCTTCAGCATTGAAACAGCTTGATGTTGCTTTGACAAGACTGGATGAAATAGCTGGTTTTCTGGGGACATATACAAAAAATACTTATCTTTTAATTTTAGGATTGTACTTTGTACTAAGTATGTGAATAGTCAGATTTGGAGCATATGCACAACATCCACTGTGTAAGTGAGGATTTAGTTAATTAAGGGAAAAATGGCATGCTATGTGTGTCAGTTAGCTAGTTTGAAGCCTCAATTTTCAGCACAAAGCTGAGCAAGTATCTGGGGCAGAGTGACCAGGGCTCTTGATATCAGTGGTGGTGATGTTCTGGAACTGTTAAATAAGGAGTCAGGTCCACGGCCACTTTGGCTGACATAGAGAAATGCTTGGAAATGGTAACAAAATAATTACTGTTGTCATTTTGATACCTGCCCTACTGTATAGGGGAAATGGGGTTGGTATTATCACAGGTCAGGAATGAAGAGTTCATGAGTGAAGAGCCTTAGAAACAAGCTAGGGCTGGGCAGTACCTGTGGCTCGGTGGGTAGGGCCCCATGTACTGAGGGTGGCGGGTTCAAACCTGGCCCCTGCCAAACTGCAACAAAAAATAGCCGGGTGTTGTGGCAGGCACCTGTAGTCCTAGCTACTCAGGAGGCTGAGGCAAGATAATTGCCTAAGCCCAGGAGTTACAGGTTGCTGTGAGCTGTGTGATGCCATGGCACTCTGCTGAGGGCAATAAAGTGAGACTCTGTCTCTACCAAAAAACAAAACAAGAAATAGGGTAGGCCCAGGAATGGAGTGTGGAGGTGGCTTTCCTGGTGCTGGCATGTCCTCTTGTTCACTGTTTTTTGTTTTTTTTTTTTTTTTAAATATTTATATATTGACTATATTAAATAGATGAATGGGCTATTCCTAGGGTATTTATGAAGGATGCACGAAGAATGAATTAACTCTTTCCAAGCTTTCACTGGCACACTGGGATCCTTATCTGCAAAGCAGCACCTTTGTGATCTGGAAGAAATACTCAACTGCCTCAAGTGGCTACTTTTAACCAGTGAATTAATTACCCATCTATTTCTAGCTCAGTGTTTATTGAGTGGATTCACTGATCCATCAGTTTTTTAGCCTCTATTTTAAATTTTGGGCTAATCGTATTTTTAGAAGCTTTCTGAAAATTGTTACTCTTATGAAATGTTCGTTAGAAAGCTTTATCCAAAAAAAGTCCAGGATAAAACATGGAGTGGGGACAATTTTTCACTTGATCTGTCTCTTCCAATTTTGAGAAATTCTTTGGAGTTCTGTCATGAAATTATTTTTCCCCGCTCGGTTGGTGAGTAGCTCTCAGCGTGTGAGAAGTTGAAAATAATGTGTTTTTAAAATAGGAAAGCATAACTGATGACACTGTTTTGCTATTATGCTAAATATAGTTTTGATTCATTTTTCTTAATGAAAATTGGCTTAAAATATTCCTTTTTCTTTTGACTGCATGCACTGTTTGAAAATCCATTAAGCATATACTTTCTTACAGTTAGCAGGTATCATACAGCGGCTTTCTTTTGTTTATTCTTCCTTTTGGTTTGTCTAATGCTGAACACGGTAAGTGATTGTTATAAACAGGCTATATGTTATTTCTTCTCAGGTTCCCATCCTTAGTAAGAAAGAGGATGTCTTTGCATATTTAGCTAAGTATTCCGTTCCCATGGTCCGAGCAGCGTGGATGATCAAGATGACTTGTGCCTATTACTCTGCCATCTCTGAAGCTAAAATTAAGAAACGTCAGTCTACTGATCCCAATTTGGGTAAGTGAGACAGCACAATACAATTTACATTTCATTACTGATTTTGTAAGTAACTGCTGCCTGTACCCTCTGGATACAACCCAGCCTGGTATGTGCTGAGAATGTCCACATTGAGACCAAAGTCACTCCTGGTACAGATAAGTGACTTATCGCTACTAGGCCTGAAATACATCCTGAATCTGGAGTGCAGTTCAGTACTACAGCTGTTGAAATGCTGGTCAAGTCACCATCATCTCCTGGCTGGATGTAGTTGCAGCCTCCTAACGGGTCTCCTTACCTTCTAGTCTCTGAGTGGTTACCATACTTATCTCCGAGCCTCAATGAGGTCGTACTGTGTCTCTGTTTGTCACTTTACGATTTCTTTTGACACCTGGAATGAAGATCAGATTCTTTCCTATGGCCATTAAGGCCATTATGATTTGTCCTTTTTTTCCTATGACATGCCAGCCACACTGCCTGCCTTCTGTCCCTCCAGCATGCCCAGGGCCTCTGTGTTTCCTGTTCCTTGTACACGGTTGCTCTTCACTGAGGCTTTGGCTTAAATGTCACATTCTC